CAGTGCTCTACATATTTATAGTTACGTTTATATGTCACATCAATGCGTCCGTCCCGTTAAAATTGATCTCGTTCAGGCTCATCAAGTCGTTGGCAGGCAGCCCGCTCCTGTATCCCATTGTTTTCCCTTGACTCCTGGAGACAGAGGATCCATTCGGGAATAATTATTAGAAAAATTAGTCACGGCACTACCTTTGGGAGCTCTGTTTGCTTTTGCCTTGAGCAGTCCCCTTCTTTCGACGAGATATGCCTGGCATTTGCTTCTGCTGATAAGGAACGGGCAAACGGGGTGGGAAGACGAGGAGCAAACTAAAAGCTAATTGACAGAGAAAAGTTAATATTTGCTAATCTGCCAGATACAGTAGGTTATTGTTTCTTTGCTCGGGTCTGAAGAGCAATCTGTGTTTTTTTCTAAATAATGCCGTTTTTTTTCCACAAAACGCTGAATCCATTCAGCTCCGCGGTGACATCACCTTACAGGAAGCAAGAACAATATGTCTCTGTTGTGCTGGAGAACAGCCCGTGTTTGTGGAGCGCAGGAGGAAGTCCCGGGCTGGAAGGGGACGGAAGCCACACGCTATTCCACTCAGCCTGAGCCACTCGAGAGCTTTGGCTTCGCTCTCAGCACCACGTCTTCTCCCAGTCCAAGTCACTTTTGATATGGATTGGGCTGGGAGGGACTTTGGGCCTTAAAACCGGGGGGGAAAAAGAATCAAAACGCCGTTGAAACTGGAATAATGAGCACAAATTGCCCACCTTTTTATAAAGTGAAAACATACTTTTTAATCTGTTAACTCTAGAAGTGGGCTACCAGACATTGTTCATCAAATCATAGAATGGTTTGGGTTGGAAGGGACCTTAAAGATCATCCAGTTCCAACCCCCTGCCACGGGCAGGGACACCTCCCACCAGACCAGGTTGCTCCAAGCCCCATCCAGCCTGGCCTTGAACCCCTCCACAGCTTCTCTGGGCAACCTGTTCCAGGGTCTCACCACCCTCACAAGAAAGAATTTCTGGTATCTAATCTAAATCTCCCCTCTTCCAGTTTAAAACCATTACCCCTTGTCCTGTCACTACACTTCCTGACAAAGAGTCCCTCCCCAGCTCTCCTGTAGGCTCCCTTCAGGTATTGAAAGGCCGCTATAAGGTCTCCCCGGAGCCTTCCCTTCTCCAGGCTGAACAACCCCAGCTCTCTCAGCCTGTCTTCATAGGAGAGGTGCCCCATCCCTCCGATCCTCTTTGTGGCCCTCCTTGTTAGAAGATAAAAATTCATATGATTGTTTTAAACCCAAAGTAACACCTCATTTGCTATCGGAAGCGGGCTTCCCTTATTCACTTGTTTCTCAAGTGCTGTAAAATTAACATCTTTAGCACCAGATGGTTTATATATAATCACGATTCAGTATCGCCCTGTTCCGGCTGTTTTTTTTAATGACAAAACTTTGTAACAAGCAGTTAACTGTAAACTTGTTGAAAGAATGACCCTGTCTCCATTGTATGTTTTTCTACAGGTATAATCTCTGGCCTCTAGGTTTAACCATAATGATGATTTTAGCATCCAAGATTTTGCCAACTTTATTAGTTGTCAGTATAAATGTCATTTTTGGTGAGTGACAAACAGCACATGACAGATGGCCCAGGCTTGATTTAGCCACTCAAACTAGTGTACAACAAGATGCCAAGACCAAAAAAGGTAGTCCCAGTGTACCCCGATTTATAGAGATGAAATTTAAAACATACATGCGTTTAGCAAAACTCTGCCCAAATTAAATTTTTGATGTATTATGGCTATCGGTGTCCAATAGAGGGAGAAATATGATTCTAAACTAATCTGCATTTTGAATTTTGTTTATGGTGGTGCTGATGGAATTGAATGGACTAAAATACATCACTACAGATATTGCGTTTAAAACAGATGCTAAAATTCATCCATGCTTTAAGGCCCTCTTTTTTAACAGGATAAAATGTAGGTACAAGAGCTTGGAGACACACCATAAACTCTTCACGAGTATGCTTCACTTACAGGTTTCAAAAATGAAGAATCACAGAATGATGTGGGGTTGGAAGGGCCCTCTGGAGATCATCTAGTCCAACCCCCTGCCAAAGCAGGTCCACCCAGAGCAGGTTGCACAGGAACGTGTCCAGGTGGGTTTGGAATGTCTCCAGAGAAGGAAACTCCACCACCTCTCTGGGCAGCCTGTGCCAGGGCTCTGCCACCCTCACAGGAAAGAAGTTCCTCCTCATGTTTAGATGGAACTTCTTATGTTCAAGTTCATGCCGTAAAAGAAAGTAAAGAAATTTGCAGATACAAAAATCTGAATGAGGTATTTAAAGTACATAAACTACTATGCCATAAAAGAAAGTGAAGAAATTTGCAGATACAAAAATTTGAATGAGGTATTTAAAGTACATAAACTACTGCAATTTTCGTGAGCTTTAGATGAGAACTCTCCCAAGCAGCACAAGTTATTAAACTGAAATAAAAAACTTGTTTCTAAAAACTGTCCTAAAAAGCCATACTAAGCATATCACTCCGGCGACTTTGCCTCCTCTTACTTCTTTTGTTCTTTAGTGTCCAGCCCATCCCAAACCACAGCACTTCCAGAAGTCTCTGTGCCAACTGCCTCTTCCTTCCCACTTCTGCAACTTTAACTTTCCCTGTATGAGGGGAGCCTTTTCTCTTTGCGTTCATTCCTGCAACCCCCTCAGTTACTTTCATTTATTTACAAAGTTTTTGCCCATTTTGCAATCTTTTAGTGAACGTTGGGACACTAAATGCTTTTCTTCAAGCTTCAACTCATGCAGCTTTATGACTTGTGTGGGAATTTCATCTGGAAACAACTCTACGTTTCTCTCAGTCAGTAAATATTCTCTGTTGCAGAAGAAAATCTTGATAGCATGAAGCTTAATGAACAGCTCAATAACTACAAGACAAGAAAATGTTTACTGCAATCCCTGGGTATTTTGGGTGTTTTAAGCTACGTGTCCTTGCACGTGAGGGAATAGCTCACAATCTACTTTCTCTGGTAGAAAAGCTTCTTCCTTAACTCCTTTAAATACGTGGACTGGAGCATTCCTGATAACTCTTACTTTTTCCAGGATTTGTGTGTGGTTACCAGCTCAACTCACACCTAAGCCAGCTGTGGGCCAGCAAGCCGAGGAAGTGAGGGACAGGCATTTGTGACAGAACAGAGCTCACTGGACTGAAAGGGAGATGCAATGGGATGTGGAGATCTTGCTGGAAGCACCTCAGCTACCTATTCTAATATTAACAAGGACAGGGGGGCATATGGCTGTGAGCTGAGCTCAGTGACTGCAGCATAAATATAGCCCAAAAGTTGCGTATTAAGCAACTTTCATTTGTTGTAATTCATTGAGGTGATGTTGGGATAGGAAAAAAAATAACACCAGCGTACCTGAGGGACTTTTTTCCTAAAACTGTGGACACACTCTCAGTTTTCGCATGGAGCGTGGCTGCCATCTACCGCTGCAGGCGGGGGATGTCCCTTCGAGCTGGTGGACCTCTGGGTTTCAATAGCTGAGCACACAACGCTACAATAATTGGTGGTCCTTCGTGTTTCTTGAATCTTCTCAGCTGCCCAGGGGCTGAGGAGGAAACACAGTCACGTTTAGAGGCTTTGTTTGTTGGGCTCTTCTCTTTTTGCTTGTAAAAGAAGAGCTTTCTTTAGTTATTCTCTCTACCTTGAAATCTTCCTATGCCATATTACTTTGCTTTCTACTTCTAAGGATCTTCAAAACCTGAATTCACAAGCTTGTCTGTGAAAAAAAAAATGTTTTAGGAACTAGTCCTTTTCTCAGGACTTCCTTGTAACCTTTTATCCGCTTCTTGATCTCTAGGTCTACAAAAAAAATTCTTTTAATCTGTCTTTAAAACAAAGCTGGGCCACTGATAAGGACCGCTTCCTGCTTGCACAACCTCATAGTGGAATTTCACTGGTTACAAAAGATCAGCTAGATTTGAAAATGCACTTGGTGACAACTTTCCAATCCTCTGAAAATATCCGTGATAAATTCTCCAGAGAGTAACTGGACTTTACACTGCTTGACTCCTAAACAACACCTCGCAAAGGGCCGTCTCCAAATTTACTTGCTGCACCCCCACAGAAATACTTTCACTCAGCATATTACTTTGCTTCCCGCTTCAAACCTGAATTCACAAGCTTGTCTGTGAAAAAAAAATGTTTTAGGAACTAGTCCTTTTCTCAGGACTTCCTTGTAACCTTTTATCCACTTCTTGATCTCTAGGTCTACAAAAAAAATTCTTTTAATCTGTCTTTAAAACAAAGCTGGGCCACTGATAAGGACCGCTTCCTGCTTGCACAACCTCGTAGTGGAATTTCACTGGTTACAAAAGATCAGCTAGATTTGAAAATGCACTTGGTGACAACTTTCCAATCCTCTGGAAATATCCGTGATAAATTCTCCAGAGAGTAACTGGACTTTACACCATCGAGCACTTGACTCCCAAACAACACCTCGCAAAGGGCTGTCTCCAAATTTACTTGCTGCACCCCCACAGTGGTAATGTATCTTTTCAAATGCTGTTATTGACGTCCCACCCACAAAGGGAAATTACTTTAAAAATTTACCTTGCTCAGGAAATTGTCTCGTAACTTGCATTTTGAAAAGAGACACTGATTTTAAAAGATTTCACTGAGGCTAAAACTGGTGGAATTTGGCCAATTCAGTAAGGTATCCCTTTGCCCCTGGGTTAAAAAACATAATCATCTCATATGATATCTGTCAATAAATTAAACCGTAATGTATCTTTTCAAATGCTGTTATTGACGTCCCACCCACAAAGGGAAATTACTTTAAAAATTTACCTTGCTCAGGAAATTGTCTCGTAACTTGCATTTTGAAAAGAGACACTGATTTTAAAAGATTTCACTGAGGCTAAAACTGGTGGAATTTGGCCAATTCAGTAAGGTATCCCTTTGCCCCTGGGTTAAAAAACATAATCATCTCATATGATATCTGTCAATAAATTAAACCTATAAATTACTAGTAGTTGGGCTTTGGAAGCTGCTGTGGTAACCCAAAGGATATATTAAATTGAGCTTAACATGCTCAATTTGGATTGATTTTATTCTAAAATCCTGCAGGCTGATAAACATATTTGTTTTCACTTTTACCATGAGATCAAAGAATTAGTAAAACTGCCTAATTCAGTGATCTGCATCTGAGTGCTAGTTTAAGCAATTAGACATTTGTGTGGCTTTACAATAGATTTTGTAGCCAAAGTTTAGTTTTAAATATAAGGCTGAGTAGCAGGAGTACGTAATTATCCTCCAAGCTCCGTGATGTAACCTTGATTAAATAATCTAACTCACCTTCCTAATGTGTAAAATAATAGTTTTGCTACTAGTAGTTGGGCTTTGGAAGCTGCTGTGGTAACCCAAAGGATATATTAAATTGAGCTTAACATGCTCAATTTGGATTGATTTTATTCTAAAATCCTGCAGGCTGATAAACATATTTGTTTTCACTTTTACCATGAGATCAAAGAATTAGTAAAACTGCCTAATTCAGTGATCTGCATCTGAGTGCTAGTTTAAGCAATTAGACATTTGTGTGGCTTTACAATAGATTTTGTAGCCAAAGTTTAGTTTTAAATATAAGGCTGAGTAGCAGGAGTACGTAATTATCCTCCAAGCTCCGTGATGTAACCTTGATTAAATAATCTAACTCACCTTCCTAATGTGTAAAATAATAGTTTTGCATTTCTACCTCTACACACATAGATGGGTCATTATAATTAATTAGGGTAGTCTGTGTTCAACTGGAATAATCTCTATGTCTGTATTTTAAAGTCCTGTGTATCACACACAGGATACAATGTAACAAAACAAAATGTTACAAAAGCTGCAGCTTCCGCTCTGCCCAAATATTTATTCCCTAAGACTGGTAAACTCTCTGTTTTCCTTTCAAAGGCAAAACTTAAACAGAAGTTGTCAAGGGTGTAAGGAAACTTGAGTTTGTTCATAAAAGGACTTCCATAAAGCATAATTGCATCACAAGAATGATAATATATACAGATCTATTCAAGAAATCAGAGAGTGAAATAGAAGGGCTTTTTAAAAGGGAAAATGACAGGTAACATACGTACTTATACTATGATTGAAACATCTCATGTATTCAAGCTGATGCATACACAAACTGCTGAAATCTGTCTTAGGTGGCATATAAAACAAATTATCTTTGCAGTTTGGAAGCGATCTCCTCCTCACCAGAAGGTGGTTTTGCAGAATTGTTTATCACAATAAAGGGGCAGGGAATGGTCAGCGGCCTGATCTGGGCCAGGTGACCTTTAATTACAAAACACACCGGGGTACGATGAAAGCCCAACACTATGAAGTGATAAATTCCTCAGCGAGGCCTCCTAAGCTTACAGCTCTGAAGACATCAGAGGATAAGGCTGCCCCTGGAAGGATAAGCCCCAGAGGCCCAAAGCTCGCAGCTGCCACCTCCAGAGCGGGGACCGGTCAGCGGTCGGGCTGGCCACTCGGGGCCACCAGTAATTCCCTGGGGGCTTATGAGGCAGCAGCGGTGCCCTATCAGCCCGTCCCAGCCTAGGTGGCCGGTGGCCAGCCCGGCCCGCCGCGTTAATCGCCTCCCGGGCCGCCCTCTGCCATCCCCAAAGATGGCGGCGGCGGCTCAGCTTCAGCACCGCCCGGCGCGGGGGGGGAGCCGCGCTTCCGGCAGGGCCCTGAGCGCGGCGGCGGGGGCGCGGCGGCTCCTCCGCGCC